ATGGATTAGATTTTTTAGGAGTCCTTTCACATCGGCAGCTTAATTAAAGTTTCAAAAAGTTGATGAAAATCCTGACCGTGACCTATCGTGTAGAGCGAGCCGACAAATGCAGCTGCAACTCCAGCTACTAGCCATTTCAACGGTTAGGGGCACAAACCACTTGTCCTCGATTTGAAAAGGAATACTCTTTGTAGAAGGCATATGCTATCTTAACCTCCAACGAACGGCTCAAGCTGCATCATTGCCCGATTTCATACCGTGGGAGACTGGAAACAAGTAACGATGGTAAGTTAGTTAAGACTTAAATTAATCATATAGAACGAAAGATCGCACTGTAAATAAGAATCTCACAAAGTTTGGTGTTAATAATCGGATCAAATGTAAACGATGGCAGCTTTTCAAAAATTCTAGATTTTACAAAGAAATGTACAGGAATTTRGAAAAATCCGGATGCAGCGTCCGGTATTTTATACATTTCTACGGAAATTCTAGCGTTTTTGAAAGGCTGTAAATCGTTTAATATTGACCTGATCAACGCCAAATTCAGACAGTATTTCTCAATAAGTCTTATCTCGCCATCGTCCGAATTAAGGGACTTGTACCCAGTCTCCCACGGTATGAAATCGGGAAATGAATCGATATTAGGGCGGATAATCCTCGTAATTTTCTCGTGTTCTACAATTTTGGTTGCTCCAGACGCTGGTTTTCTGTAATGTCACGAAGAACTGTGCATATTTTTTCAAAAAGACTAGGCATCATCAAAGAACTTTCTGAAAGATGTCCAAATGTGAACTTGCAGGAAGTTATGGTTCCAAAATCACGAGGATTTGATGAAAAAAGTAAGAGATATTGGACGAAACATGACTGCTTCCTTAATATAGGCCTAAAAATTGATTAATTCTGGAAAGTATGCATGTTTTGGATAATCTATTGCGCCTATTGTTGGTGACTAACCACAGTCGAACGAGGTTGTGCATTGTACGAATTTCGGGTTCCCTGTGGTCTTCTAGGATAAAGGTAGCCCAACATTTGACCGATTTTGCTATGTTGATATTGTACATTGTCCTGACAAATTCTGGGCATGCCCTTGGAATTCCATTGTGTTTATTAGAACCAAATTTTAGCATGGATGGTGGGGCCACAATAATTTGGTTTGGGTGGCCCCCAATAACTCAATGCCCCCCCACCCCTCCCCCCCCAAAAAAAAATACTTTTTTACCCATGTTTATTTGAATCAAATCTTACCAGCCCTCCTTCTTTGTAAGAACACAGGGATGTCGTTTGATTGCTATAATTCTATCCACAGTTTGGTCSCAACTGAATGGAGCAGAAATATTAATATCTGATCCAATTATTTGTCCCTATGTTCATAAACTTCCTAATCTGAAATGGCTRCAGMTAACATTTGTTGGAGTTGAAACTATTGTAGCATGCTTCAAAGATCTYCCACCTCCAGCCTACCTCATCACCCGTTTTGGTGGTATTGGACCAGCAATGTCAGAATACGTCTTGGGGATAATTATTGCAATGGAAAGGAAATTTAAATCATTCTGGGAATGGCAAAAAGAGCATTTCTGGTAATTTCAAAAGAGTTAATCACTCTTCATGTTTTTTGCTTTTCACTTACTATAGAACAGAGTCTATACTATTAGCAAGTAAATGAGTGAAAAATAAATTATAACATCAGTATTAAACCAGGGGGGAGATCTATAAATTTTAAAATGGGGGGGGGGGGCACATACCAGGTATGAAAGCAAAGGCTTCCATTTTGGCTTTATTGATTGTGTAATATGTGATGGATATAAAAAATAAGTAAAACACGTTTTTAGTTATGACATAAATTATGGATGACGAATGGATGATGATCGAATAGCATTAATATGACACTGACACTGTGAACACCATCTCGAGTATATCATCGTGTAATTTCATTTTTATTTTTTTATCGATTGTTCATGATTGTTTCCCATCAGGTTGGATGACATTCGACATTACAAGTACCGTACTTTATCGCAGCTYACSCTTGGYATTCTGGGATATGGAGACATCGGCCAGTGCGTCGCAAGRRRCTGCAAGGCACTGAGAATGACTATTTGGGCAATGGGAAGATCTCAAAGGAATCAATTACCAGAACACGTTGATGAATACAGAACAAATTCCGGTCTCAGTGAAATTCTACAATCTTGTGATTAYATCTGCAACATTTTACCAAGCACGCCCGATACAAAGAACCTATTATCAGGAAATGTACTTCAAGTTTGTAAAGCCCGTCAAGCGTGCTTTATAAACGTAGGCAGAGGTGATGTTATCGACGAAAAAAGCCTTGTGAATGCACTGAAGGAAGGCTGGATATCCGGAGCTGTTCTTGATGTTACTGAAACTGAACCTTTACCGATAGAAAGTGAATTGTGGGATATGTCAGGGGTAACAATTACTTCTCACTGTGCAGCGCTGCCGTTTAGCAACGAGGTTAGTGTATAATGCGGTCGTAATTTAGCCGAGTGATTGCAGCAGTTGGATTAATATTGGATGAGTATGATATGAGGGAAATATGAGGGTTTGTGTTCATTTTCAACTCTTACAGGTTGCTGAGGTATTTGCCAAGAATTTGAAACTTTATGAGGAAGGCAAACAGTTGKACTTCGTTGTGGACGTTAAGAGAGGATATTAATGTAACGTTCAAGCAGACAAGTGTATTGTACTACGAGGTTCTGAAGGGGTAAAATAGAATCTAGGATTATGTTTTTTTCAGTTTTAAGTTCAGGGACCGCGGAGCGTGAATTTGTTTGGGGGGGGGGGGGGGGGGGGGGGGCTAGCGGCGAGGAGGTACTAGGGGGCTTCGGAAATTTTTGAAATCTTAACTCTCGGAAATGTCATTTCCAGCGTTTTGAGGCGTTATCAAGGACATTTTTACCGCACACACGGTCAGCGATATTATCAATAAATCCTAAAGACTTCGCAGAAAAGCTTCAATTTTAATTGTTCACGCTCAGTTAATTTTTACACAATTTTTATAGAATATATCAGAAGTACTTCTGAATATATATGATAAAATTTCATATTTCTCATATATTTCATATATAAAATTATTGGGGGGACTACACCCCCTGCTCCGCGGTCCATGAAGTTGTGGGAAATTGAGATATCATGCAAGGTTGAAGTTATTCAATTATAATAAATCAATTTCAAAGGGAGCTAGAATCAGGTCCAAATTGCTTGCATCACTGTCTAGAGAAAATTCATTTTAAACTGAGCTCGGCGGTATAAAGTAAAATAGGAGTTATGGTGGGTACAGTTATATAGTAGTTATATATGGCGGGTTAATTTTTTTGTGGTTATAGTGGGTAGAGTTCTATACGTTTTATTTCCTAATAAAACTGAGAGAGGAACATGACTGTTTGCAACGTTGTGTGGATCTGTGGGAGGCTGTACAAGGTGTGCATTACCACCATTTAACTTTATTTGATAATTCTTGTCTCTTCTTGTTTATGTTGGCCCTCTTTCAATCCCTGATTACTTTGAGCTGATTAAAATCGACCATAGGCCATAGTTAGCCTGCGTGCAGTCAGGTTTTATTATTAATAACAAGTAAATACAAGTATAGTTTGCCTCCTTGCTGGTTGTTACTGAAGTTACTACCGCGCTTTTTATAGGACTGGCTTGAAATCTGGAGCAAAATTCGGGATTTAAGCTCTCGGTCCACTGTCCGCATCTTGAAGCAGGTCAATTTTAAAGYAACTATGTGATTTGAATGGAAATCAAATCGAGCGTTTGTTGTTTAGATTTGGTTTACGGATTCYATGGAAACTATTTCCATGGTTACGGTGGTGACGTTCACAGGCGGTGCCTTTTGCAGATGACATAGTGAGAAACAGACCGTTGGCCTTTATCGGAAAAAATCAAACTCTACACTTTTGTGGTAAGTTTATTTCTCATTTTCACCATGTTTATAAAGAATGTAATGTGTTTGTTGTACGGGAAAATTGTTTAGAATGAATTGCCTTCTATCMAAGCGATTCCGCGAGTATTGATGTATGTCCCACAGGCTTTTTGCGGCATTATCTCGGTGCTTTTGTTTCGCTCGTTGAATTCTTTTCTTGTACTAAAATAATGGCACATATAAAAACTGGTTTAAACTTTGAATGTTTGAACTTTGAACTTTGAATTATTAAATAGCCAAAATTTTATAACACTTAATAAACGATAGGGTGATCTATATCACGAGATATCAGACATTTAAGGTGCATTTATTGCACTGTTTCCATTTTTTACTTATATCCATTTACTTATATCCATTCTGATTATTGTATGTCTTTTTCTTGATTGGTAATATTTTAAGACACAGCGAAAAATAGATCAGACACCATCGTGATCCGTGCTGTCATAATTATTTCATCTTCATATGCATGAGTAGTATGTCAAGTATGTTTATTAATTTTTACTGTACGCAGAATCCGGTGTCATCCTTATAAACTGACTGATGTTCGAGTTGACGAGAATAACTCTTGTTCTTTTTGCGTTTTTGCAAAATGACATCACATTGCGTTGCGGAGATTCCGTTGCTTCAGCATCAAGCTTGTCGGGACATGGATCATCAGRGGCAGTGCATCATGGAACATCTATYCATGCTGTTRAATCGACGATGCAACGAAATGAAGCGACGGCCACGCAGT